GAAAGAAGAGTCATGAATAACATGAAAGCTTTTTCTAGATTTGTCACAAACTAATTCAGGTTTGAAGATTGGAGAATGCAAGGAGAGGCTTGGCAGTATGGAAAGGTGTAAAGTGAGGTTGCAGACTGGGGGCCCCCTGGCCAAATTCCACTGATATATTTTGTTTGGCTCACATTATTTGAAAAATATTCAAATCCGTTTAAAACGTGGGAGTTTTCATACTAAAGCCCTTGGTTTCCAGATTTTCTAGAGGAATAGGGAGTGCTAGCATCAGAGCTGTGGCTGGTTGGTAGCCGACCCTGTGAAAGGACATGGCTCTTGGTCGTAGCCCCTGCCAGCGTATCACCCCAGTCTAGAAGGTTCTGGATCCAGACTTGGAGCACCACCACTCACCAACTGGGCCACATCGGGGCCGGCATTTAATGGACTCTTCCTCCTCACCTGCCCCCGGCTGCCTCATGAGTGTGACAGCACATCATAAACACGCAGCACAGTGGACCTGTAAGGAGGGGGTGGTTCCCAACAATGCAGGCACCCTTAGTCAAGTGGGCATTAGGAAGAGACGCTTAGTGGCAGCCTGTGGACAGGGAAGGGAACCCATGTAAGGGAAGTGCCCTAAGACAGTGTCACCCATTTCTTTCCTTAAAAAAAAAATTTTTTCTAAAGGTGTTTTAAAACTGTGTTTTCTAAAATTATTATGATTATTTTACAAGATCCATGCAGTCTATGTGGTGCTTTATAAGGCGTATCCGGCTACAGCTGGTGCACTTTGGGGGGTTTTATGGCAAATTATTCTCAGATTACTCTTTAATGCAGCAAGGTCTGCCTGTTGTCTGAGCTCCCTGGGTCATACGGAAAACCCTCAGACTTGATACAAAACAGCTGCCTCAGTCAGCTGTTTCAGAAAAGGAGCATATTTAGGCCGAAGCAGCAGGAAAAAGGTTTTTGTAGCTGGTGGAGATTTTGAAAAATGTTAAATTACTCTTTCCTTGCCATTAAAATGTGATTTAATTTTGTTATTAACAAATTGTGTAAATCTGAAAAGAAGGACTCTGAATGGGGTTTGTGAAGTGCATTCTGGCAATACTTACAGTATGTCCTGGGGGGTTGTTCTCCAGGGAGGGCAGCAGCCCAAAACTCCAGCTGACCTCCATGTCCCCGGGCCTCAGCCCTGGCTGGGCTGGGGTCAGGGGGCCAACCCCTAGGCCTCCCTCCTCTCTCTCCTCTGGGTTCCTGCTGAGACCAGCAACAAAAGGGTCAATTGTCTGAGGCCTCCCTTTGTCTCAGGGGGCTCTGTGGGCCTCTCTGAATGCCAAAGCATCTCTGTGCACGTGGGTCAGTGCATGTGTGCATGTCTGTATGAATGTGTGCATGTGCATGTGTGCCGGTGCATGCAGATGCCTGCATCTGAGTACTGTGTGAGCATGTGCATGCATGTGTAAGTGCGGATATGCATGCATGCAAAAGTATGCGTGCACACGTGGGTGAGTTGCGTCTCAGTACACACATGTGTATACATCTGTGTGCACGTGCATGTGTAAATTGGTTATGAAGTGTGCACAGGTGCATGGTTGCATGCATGTCTGTGCAGACACAGGCAGGAGTGAGACTTGTTTAAAGTTGCTGATGCTTCTTAGCAAGGGCGAGGGCTCAGAGAGGCCTGACTAGCTAGGTTCCTAATGCCAGGCCAGAAGATTATCTCTGGCCCATCTCTCAGCAGATGACACAGTTGCCTTTGTCTTGTATCTGCTATGGCACAGAAGCCTCAGAGAGTTTTCTACCTCCCCTGGCTCCTCTGGGGTTGGACAGTATGCAGGAAGAGGAGGAAGAGACATAAAGAGTCTCCTTGCTCATGTTCCAACCTGGGCCTTCACAGCAAGGCCCACGAACACTTTTCTACACTGTTCCAGCATCTTGTCAGGGCTGCCTAATTGGATCCAGTGCATTCCGTGTGGAGTCTAAGCCCTGTTTCCAGAATGACTGCACAGTGCCCTCTTCCCGTCCACCACATGAGTCGGTTCCCACGTAGCTCTGGGCCCTTTGCATGGGTTCGGATCATCTTGTTCCCTGGCATGTCGTTACCTGGCCTGTTCACACAGAGGCTCGCGAGATGCTGCAGCGGGTCTGTGGATTCCCTGATTCGCACTTTCTTCCTTCACAAAGATGTCCTTTATAGAATGACAATAAAACATATTGGATTCAGAAGCCAGGAAGAGACAAATACAAGTGCTTAATTGAAATCCATCTCTGTGAAGGATTTATCACCCCGCCTCTTTCAACCGGCACAGCTACCACTGAAAAACTTCCCCTGTTTTTTTTCTTATTTTTGTCCCTCCCACGCCCATTTTCTTTCCCTACTCCAGCAAAGGCGTATCTTTCAACTGTGGAAAAGGCACCAATTAAGCAGTACTCTAAAGCTTATCAAAATATTCGGTTGGTAAAATTATCTTATAATTAGCCTCACTGGAAGCCAGAACTTTTTAACTCCAGGAAATGTAAAGTTACATGGCATGTGAAATCGTAAATTGCTCATCCTGACCTTTTGGCTGCAGTTTCTGTTTTTATTTCCTTCCCTAAATAATTTCCTCCTTGTTCTTTAAATTCTTGATTGTCCCTGAGGCATCTTCCTTTTCCATTTGCTTAAATCTCAAAAAGATGTACTCCTGGTTTAGCTAACAGATAATTGAATACATTCAGGTGAGTGTGATATGAAATCACCTTGATGTTATGAATTTCATGCCTTCACTTCTAGATAATCTTTTTGTAAAATTAAGCCTATCCTCCCTGAGTCCCGGCTCACTGATGTCAGTTCTGCATTTGGGGTATGCATGGTGGTAACACACAGCCAAATTATTCTGGAGCTGAGCTGTTTGAACAGTAGCTGGGAGATTCTGCAGTGTGTTAAGCTGGACCGAAGTGTTGGGCTTTCTTTCTTTTAAAAAAAAAGTGTAATTGAAATATAGTTGATATGTAACATTATATTCATCCCAATGATTTTACTTCTCCTAACTCTCCCTCCCCTTGCCTCTTTGTCACCCCCTCCACCCTCCCACTGCCCAGGGAGACTGCCCTCACCCCCACCACCACTGGGGCCGACATCAGGGGAACTGCCAGTGATGTGTTTGGGGATGTGAAGGTTCAACTTAGGTGGACTTGGGCCCAGATGATGCTTGGATTTTTAACTGCTGTGAGTTCCTTAAACTAGTAGTGCCATAGTTCGGCCACAAGTGGGTTGATGAGACATTCATAGGCATGGTTGAGGCTGATCATCATTTTTACATGATGAAATAATTTCTAAGTTCTAAGAACTAACTTAAAAATTAAATTTTGGAAAATGAAGGGCTGCCTGGGTGGCTCAGTGAGTTAAGCATCCAACTCTTGATTTCCACTCAGGTCATGATCTCAGGGTCATGGGATCAAGCCCTGTGTTGGACTCTGCGCTCAGTGGGGAGTCTGCTTGGGATTCTCTCTCCCTCTCCCTCTGTTCCCCGCCCCCCCTCCCTTGCTGACTCTCGCTCTCTCTCTCTGTCTCTCTCTCTTAAAAGAAGTAAATAAATAAAATCTTTAAAAAAATTTTGGGGAAATGAAAACATTTTCATAAATGAGGTTCTGCATTTGGGGTATGCATGGTGGTAGTTACTATTTATAGTTTTTCCTTTCCATAGGCAGTATGCACACGTGTGCATGCACACACAGGTATAAACACAAAAATAGAAAAATTGCTTAATCCTTACATGAGAAAATAATTATTTGCCCATTATATAGTTGTAAACACTGGCTCTGAGGGTTTAAATAACTTGATGCCCATATAGTTAGCAGTTGAACTCGTGTGGCCTGACTCTTCTGGAATTTGCTACTGACCTTGCACGAACTAGGTGAGGTCCATGCCGTATGACTCAACCCCCACTTATGCTTGAGAGGTTTCCATGACACCCCCACAGAGTAAAAAGGAAATCACAGTGTCCCCTTGGCCTCCACTTGTCGCTGTGTCCAGCAATGGTATACACTTTCTCTTGATGTCACACATGTACTGTAGGCTCAATCTCTTTGCTGTCCTCAGAGACGTAATTTGCTGGCCTTGAGCTTACGGAATCAGTGTGAAGATTGTGCAGATCCCCCTGGCAAGACTGGCCCAGGTGGTCAGTCCCTCATGGCCTGGTCTCCACTCGGCTCTCCTGGGGCAGGGGGGTAGGGAAAGAACTCCTCCCGGGACCCGGGTACGACAAACCTCAGAATCAGCTGTACATGGAATCCATCCTTTCACGGCTGTGCCTCAGAGCTGAAAGAGCCCTGTTTTGCTCATACAAACAGAGAGTAGAATGCTGGTTGCCAGGGGCTGGGGGTGGGGGAAATGGGGAGATGTTGGTCAGAGGGTATAAACTTTGAGTTGTAAGAGGAATAAGCTTTGGAGGTTTAATGCACAGCGTGGTGGCTATGGTTAACGATACTGTGTTGTATACTTAAAATTTGCTAAGAGAGTAGATCTTAAGTGGTCTCACCAAAAAAAGAAAAAAAAAGGTAACTATGTGAAGTGATGGATGTGTTAATCAATGTGATAACTTATGGTAATTTCACACTGTATATGTATATCAAATCATCACATTGTATACATTAAATATATACGATTTATTTGTTAATTATACCCCAATAAAAAATAAAAAATTAAATTTAAAAAAAATTTAGGAAAAAAAGCAAAAATGCAAAAAAAAAAAAAAAAGCTCTGTTATGGAAGGTCTTCCAAATGAAAGACACCCATCTAACTTGAGAGACACATGAAATATTTTAGGTGTCTCTAAGACCCTTTCAAAATATGGCTATCCTTTAAGAACTATGTTGAAACTAAAGATCTGTCATTAAAAGGTGTTATTTATGAAGCATAAGCAGTAGGAGATTTTAGGAAATGTTTAAAAAATAATGGACCATAATAAGTTAATTTTCTTGTGAACTCAGCATACTCTTAATATTATTTAATATGTATTTTTCCCTCTTTTTAATTACAGCTTGGGTTGACAATAGCCATTCGCTACAGCCACAGGTAAAGTTAATTTTTTTTTCCTCTAAAGAGATAACCTTACTGGTTTATAGCTTTTGGTTTGCTTAAGTCTGTGGGTTTTTGAGCTTAATTTTGGTGGCTGCTCTACCCATGGTATCAGTTCACAGCAATTAGAATTGTTCTAGTTGCTTGACTGGTGGAGGTTACTGGCTATTTGGAGGAATAGGGTTTCTACGTAAAAGTGGTGGGAGGTAGTACATTTCTTTTAAAAGAAAAAACGTACTGCCGTAGGGCAGGGACACAAGTGATTTCTGGGTAATATATTCCATCTAAGGATAAGAACAGAAATCAGGGATGTCCTGCGTGAGAGGCGGAGGCCAGACAAACAGAAAGCTGGGTGAAGGCTTCTTAGTGAAGCCCCTTGCCCCTCCATGGGGCCCCCCTCTTGTCTTACAGTCATCTGAGAATGGCCAAAAGCTCCATTTTTTGTCTTGCTTCATGATTTCTGCCTTTTTCTCGAGTGTACCATGTTTATGAAAAACGTTGGTTTCTTGTACTAATATTCATCAAAATGTATTACGATGTTGAATTAGTTAAAGATCCAGTCTCCATGGAGGGGCACCAAGCAGTGTCCCCCCATCTTTACACAAACTGCTCACAGCCTCCCCAGAGTGCCACCCGCCGGTCAGCTTGGGGCATCTGGCCAGCTCTCCACAAACAAACCGTAGTTACCTCAAAGATTGCCTTCTAAAAATGCTTGTAACAGGTTGTATGTACTCATTTACATTCAGCTGTGACTTGAGCCACAAAGTGGGCAGAGAGGCCTTGAAAAGCCACTTGTCGGGTAGAGCAGGAAGAAGGCAGGACGGGGTGAGAACCACTCGGAACTGGGAATGAGTGCGTGGGAAGAAAAGTGTTCAGGCTGGACATTTCTGGATACTCTCGGAAGAATGCTGCTCCAGAGCAGCTCAGATTACTTTCTGGATCGTAGGTGTGCATGATGCTTGCGCACGGCCAGGTGGGGCATCCTGCAGAAGCACCTGTTCCCTTGTCAGCATGGCCAGGCTGCTGGACTGACAGGATGTACAACCGCTCTGCACCTGGGAAGCCTGGTGTGGACAGCGGCTCCTGGACTCTCATGTGGGCTGGATACTTGGTGGGGGTGTGTGTGGAGGGGGCAGATTTTGCCCTTTCCACTCTTTTCCTTTTGGTGGAACTTTCCTCCTATCTGAGTCCCTCTCTTCAAGAAAAGTAGCTGCCTGTTTCTGCAGGAGAGCTGAAGGTGCCTCTCCCCTAAGAAAGCTAAGGCCTTGCTCTGGTTCGGAGAACAAACATGCGCTTGTTCCTGCAATGGGGAAGGTTACTCTGTGGCTCTGTGGAGAGTTCTAACTGGTACAGAAACTCAGAGTCTATATGGAGCTTGAGAAGAAAGTGTTCTTTATTTTTTTTTTAAGTTTTTTTTTTTTGATGTA